AATATAACCAATGTCCAACGCATGGACTAAATCTAACCAATGTCCAACGCATGGACTGAATATAACCAACGTCCAACGCATGGACTAAATCTAACCAACGTATGTCCAACGCGAGGACTGAGTTGGATTGTAGTCCAACACGAGGACTTTAGTGGATTATAGTCCAACACGAGGACTGAAATGTGAATGCACGTCCGACACATGGACTAAATAAAATACGTGTCCAACACATGGACCGAAATGATAAGTATCCAACACATGGATCAACAGTAAGATATGCCCAACACATGGACTATAAGTAAAGAGGTGCAATTGTCAAAGGTATATGTGGAAAGATATACATATCCTAAACTCGCACGTGTCTCGATGTACGGGTCTAAACTTGTGTCAAAAGTGTCAACTCACATGTATAGACAAGTCACTATCATTGCAATGTAGTGTCAGATAATCGAGGCGACCCCTCGGATGTATAAAATGTACAACCAACACGAATATATGCACAAACAGTGCGGCGGTCGACCGCAGAGACCCCTCCGGTCGACCGCTCACTGAGCCGAAACTCACTGGGCTCAGAACTGAGCGGCGGTCGACCGCAGAGGTCATGTCGGTCGACCGCTCAAATAGCAGAAACATTCTGCTGAAACTAACTCAGGGCGGTCGACCGCCGCGTCCATTGCGGTCGACCGCGAAGCTGACAGAAGCCCAGTTAGGGTTTCTGTCGGCTTCAAAACCCAAACAAACTTAACGATTTCCATTATAGCATAACTCTAACATTTATACCAAGTCATAGGATAGAGAACTACAAGTTTTAATCATTTAAAATCTAACAATTAGATTTCCAATAAGACAACAAAAGAAACATGATTTAGATGTCATTAAAGCAGTAAAACATGATTAATTCTTATTTAACCATTTTCAGATCTAGATCTCATAAAAACAAATTCGTGGGTGGGTTTTTAAACATCTGAAATACTTGAGCTATGCATCATATACCATAATGATTTATTACTTGTACCAAAAATACGATTTTAGGCCCAATAAAACCGGATTAAAACCCAAATCTAAGCATAAGGCAAAAAGGGGTGAAGTTGGGCGAGATGTTACTCGCCTCTGATGAGAACCAAGCCCTAGATCTGTAGGAGAATGATTCCTCTCGCTGAATCCACCAAGAATCTCGCGAAATTCCACCGAAAATCCTTCGAAACGCCCAAAAATGCCACAAACCGAGCTAGGGTTTTGAGAGGAGAGAGAGAAGGGGGCTGAGGCTATTAGGGTTCAATAGAGGGTTCTGAGAGCTTCAAAACGAGTATATATAAGTGGGGTAACAACCGGGTTTGGTATAAACAAAACCCGACCCGAAACAGAACTGGCAGAACCAGGTTCGCTGCGCGGTCGACCGCAGCGACCACGGCGGTCGACTGCGCAGGTTCCTGGGTCATTCTCAGACTGGGGTTCGGTAAAAA